TAACTTAAACAGACAATGAAAACCGTTCTGGAACGTGATCAGGTGACCAGTGTTGATTTTTGTAACTCTACAATGTGCTGGGTTTTACAAAATGAATGCAATAGAAGAATCTGCTTTACACTAAGTCACGAGATAGAAACCTAGAAAAGGTAAAGAAACCATATTCAGGAAAGTTGACCGTGTATGGGTTGTGTAAACTGGTCCTCGAATGTCGCCGTCTGCGCGTGGTTGATTGGTTTTTATTGTTTTTGTTATTGTTCTTTTATTGCAAAGCTAAACAATGGACTATCTGCATTCTATCCGTGGCAAGGAATTCAACCCCAAATAATAGTGTTGTAAGTACGTAAACTTACCACAGACCTATCAGGGGACTCTTGGCTTTGGAAACGATGTAAAAAGATGGAGACAACAATGAAATCAGTGTATTAGGTAAAAATACCCTGTGGTGAGAAAGCACTACAAAGCAATAATCCACAATCTGGGACACCACTTGCAGGGGAAGAAAGGCTTCGTTCTTGTATTGTTACCACAGACTGTGAATACCATAAGTACACACAAACTATTATATATTTGGAAACTGAACGATTATCTAGCACCATACTCTACAAATACTTGTTAAATTAAAGCGGTGGAACAAGAGGGAATTCTCAATCCCCGTAGCTGTAATTAGATCTCAAATCGGTCAAAAGATGGAACTATGAGCTAAAAGTTTGTACTTGGAAAATCAACTGTAAACGGGCAAATAATTGTAGTTGAGTTAGCCTGAGCTAATGTAGGGATAACAAAACGTTTAAATTTTAAGTAACTGAGATTTTGTAGTTTTGACTTTCTTGTTTTAATACTATTTGTAGTTACGACTTTCTTGTTTTAATACTTTTTGTAGTTTTGACTTTCTTGTTTTAATACTTTTTGTAGTTATGACTTTCTTGTTTTAATACTTTTTGTAGTTTTGACTTTCTTGTTTTAATACTTTTTGTAGTTTTGACTTTCTTGTTTTAATACTTTTTGTAGTTATGACTTTCTTGTTTTAATACTTTTATAGCATTAAAACTTTCTATATTACTAAAGCTAGCTAGGTTACGTACATATCGATTCTCACTTGTCTTTATAAAATTAAAAAAAATATTTATTATACTTGTTTGTTTCTTTTTTATTAGCTATATTTTTGTGCGCCAGCAATACCGAGAGTGAGGTGCGCGTATACAGGATTCGATTTTATTTGTCATCGGGACCTCTAACAACCTACCCTAAAATATAATCATATGCCCAAAGTAGCGCATCGTTCATTATATATATAAACTAGTATCATTTTTGGAACAAGAAAGGAATCATTGAGGCCCCAGACTGAAGAGCGATAAGGTTCATTTTTGAAAATTAGTTGAAATAGTGAAATTTTGATTCACTCCATAAACACGTATATAACGAGTTAGGCAGCTTTATTAGTACAATAAGCTTTAGTTTTTCTCACTCAACACTCTAAAATAGTCATTGTTAATAATCAGACATTTTAAAGTTAGTTTTAAACGGACGATTTTCATGGCCACCTACTATTAAGTACTACCGTACTTAATGATTATGAAGACGCAATTTCATTCCAGCCAAGAGACTTGCGGGCCAGCAGAGAGTTACACCCTCTTTTTTTGGCCAGATGGTTAGATAAGACGAAAGTGATGATTGTTCATAATGGATGTTTAGGAGATGAAATCTGCAAAAATAATAATAATAATAATATTTCGAGGGTTTTACTAAAACACTCGTCAGGCAAATGGAACGATATGATTAAACATATACCGGATGCTCGTAATAGCCGTTTTTCTGTTTTAAAGACGCGATTTCATTCCAGCCAAGATCCTCTCACACCAGCAGAGGGTTATGCACTCTCTTTGGCCAGGTAATGCAATAAGATGAACGCGATTGTTGTTCATAATGAGGCGAAACTAGATAGTAGATGAGAATGGGCAATGAAGATTTTATTTCTTTGTATTTTATTTCTTTCTGTTTTATTACTTCTTTCTCATTTTTTTTTATTTTTTTTGCCTGTTCAACTGGCGTTGCAAACAACAATAGAAACATAGACAGAGCAGTAAATACAATACTCGTTGAGACGGTGTTTTTGTATTATGAAATTGCAAGAACAAATGTTTTGGTGTTAACTAGAATAAAATGAGTAGTTTACGATCAAATTAAATACGTGTTTCTAGCTCGGAATGCTTAGGCTAAAATATTATATTTGTATACATGCATATTTCAGATTTGGAAAGATACAGGTTATCATATTGTTAAACTCAAAAGAAACATAAACAATGAAACAATATCGTCATTGGGGCCCGACATGGCCAGGT